CAAAATTGAAAATCCAAACATGCTTGGCGTAAAATGGTGAGGTTTTTTGGGGAAGTTCTCTTTGGAAAAAATCATAAATAGAAAAAATAATGAGTTTACTTTGGAATAGACGAGCAATTGCATTTCAATTATAATAAATGCCTTGATCCTTGTTCCCTCCATGTTTTGCACTTGCATTGTGATAGAATATTTCTGAATTTGGTTTATGTTGAATTTGGGGTGTCAGAACACGAGCACAAGTTTTATATTTATTTTAATTACTAAAATTTTTAATTTTTAGTCAATTGTTTTATGCACCATTTGAGTTAACATTAATTTTGCATTGAAGAGAAAAATAAATTTGAAAGATCATTTGGATAATGCTTAATTTAATGTTTGGATTTATTTCTTTTGATTGTTTTTAATAATGTCTTTACTTGAGGACAAGCAAAGATATTATTGAAAAGAATCAGAAGAAATTTAAACAAAAAATTAATAAAATCATTTATTTAATCAAACTTTACCCGAATAGTCTTTCAAATTTATTTGCCTCTTCAATGCAAAATTTATGTCAACTCAAAGAGTGCACAAAACAATAGACTATAACAAAAATAATTTACACAAAATAAATAAAGAACGTGCGCCCGTGTGCTGTTACCCCTATATGAGCTATACAAAAATCTAATAAAATAAATATGAAAATTTCACAAAATATAACCTAAGCCAAATTCAGAAACATTCTATCACATTGCAGATGCAAAACATGAAAGAAACAAGGATCAAGACATTTATTAAAAATTAAAATGCAATTGCTTGTCTCTTTCAAAGTTCGCTCGTTATTTTTCTGTTAATGACTTTTTCCAAAGAGAACTTCCCCAAAAAACCTCACCATTTTACGCCAGGCATGTTTGGGTTTTCAATTTTGTGTGTACTCATAAATCAGACCACAACACTTATTTATTATTAATGGTACATGTGTAGGTGACTGATTTAGCGGAGTAGAATCTCTGATTTATTGCAAAAAGAATAAATAAATAAACACTCTCTTTTATTTTTTAAAAATATTTCCTAAATTTTTTTTTCATTTCACTTATGCCACAACGGTGATCCTTGAAATCATCATACTACACCACAATTTATAGCACTAAAAAATTGTTTAAGAATTTGAAAAAGGTAATATAAAGTGAAAGATGCACATCAAAGAAATGCATAAAGCATATATAAGTGTGTATATTGCATGTGGCTAGTTGTTATTTATTTTTATATTTTGAATAATTTTGACAAAAAAAAAAAACCTGCATTATTCATAAGCTTAAAGTTCAAACTAATGCTAGAATTTTAAAATAAAAAGGTTTAAGAAAATATTCATAAGAAAATTAAAAATTTTGAAATTTTTAAATTTTTTTTTTATTTTTAGGATACTCCCTTCCCCCACACTTATTTTCAACATTGTCCCCAATGTTGTGAGATGAAAAAAATAAGATAAAGATAGGCCTCCTTTATTAGATTTTTCTTTTGTGGGATTCTCATATGACCTTGCAGTTTTTAAATGGCAAGAAAACGATTTATGATCAACGCTATTCAAAAGATTTTCTTTTTGGAGTTTATCGAATCCCAACTTACCTTTCTGTGCAAAATTCAACCCCTTTACTGCAAATACTTGGTTAGATCTTTTAGACAAATTCATAAATTTGAAATTTAGAAACTCAATAGTTTCATCAAGCATATTTTTGGTCAATTTGTTTGCTTGAACATCAAGAGGGATTGTGGGCAATTCTTTTTGTAGCACTGCACCTACCGTTTCAGGCACACAACTTCTGAGTCTATTTAGAAATGGAACTGGGGGCACATAAGGCTTGGGTGATACATAGGGCTCCTCTTCTTCAAAATCTTCATTTTGCAAATGTTTGGTGTTTTTAAAGCTTTCATTAACGGGGATTGGGGGCACATAAAGCTTGGGAGGCACATAAGGAGTATCATATTTATGCAATTGAGGCTCATCCTTTTCAACAATAATATCATTAGCATCATTATTCAATTTTTCAAGTTTAATTTGTTTAGAAGTGATATTATCTTTTAACTTGTTTTCATCATGCATAGCTTCCTCAGGTTGAATAGGTAACTTACCTAGCACATGCCTTTGCAAAAATTTAAGAATTTTATCTACATGTACTTTCATTCTTCTCATGGAAGCTCATTTTCTTGGAATCGTTGTTCATCTTCTTCTTGTTGCATCGTGCTCATAAGCTTCTTGCATTTGGTGCTCATAAGCTTCTTGCATTTGGTGCTCATAAGCTTCTTGCATTTGGTGCTCATAAGCTTCTTCTTGCATTTGGTGCTCATAAGCTTCTTGTTGCATTTGTTGCATCTGGAACCATTGATCATGTGTTTCTGATTGCCTATTGCAAGTCTGTATATAATCATTCAAGGAGTCCTCCAAAGATGGTTTTTCAGATTGGGGTGGAATTGGTTGAAAATCATTTTGATTATTATCCCAATAAAGATTGAAATGACTAGATTGAAAGTCATTTTGATTATTACCCAAAAAATTAGGATGACTTGATTGAAAATCATTTTGGTTATCATCCCAAGAAAAATTAGAATAGTTTGATTGAAAATCATTTTGATTATCATTCAAAAATTATAGTGATTTTTCCAACTCGGTTTATAAGAATTATAAAACGGGTCGTGCATAGGCCAATTGATTAAAAATATTCATTGGATTTGCCAGTTCAAAATCATTATTATTTCTCTTATTTACACAATGATTATTTTGACTCAAAAAAGAGCGCATATTTTTCACTTGATTGGTTAAATTTTTTTTTTGAAAAGCCAAGTCGATATATTGGGATTAACTGCATACATTTTTCCAAAGAGTAGAAGTTTTCAAAATTTGTTTGTTCTTTTGTGAAAAAAAATTGAATGGACTAATGAATCAAATAAAAAGTAAGATTAAAAAAGAAAAACAAATGACAGTAATAATAAAGAGATAGCAGAAAAAAAAATCAAGCACTATTGAAAAATAGACGATGAATTAAATAAATGAGCAAGATTAAATTGAAGGCAAAAAAGCAAATGACAATAATAATAAAGAGATAGAAAAAAAAACTAAGCAGTATTAAGAAATGGGAAAAAAATAAATAAAGGGAATAAGGAAAGTAAAAATAAATATAAAGCAGTTTTTAAATGGACTAATGAATTAAATAAACAGTAAGATTAAAAAATGAAAAGATGACAATAATGAAGGGATACGGAAAAAGGCAAGCAATTAACGAAAGAAAAAAAAATTGAAAATTAAATTGAAAAATAAATAATTTCCCGACAACGGCGCCAAAAATTGATGGACAATTTTAATATTATTTGTCATCGCAAGTGCACGAGTCAGCTATAGTGATAGTGTGCAAAGGCAAGAGTCGAACCCACAAGAAATTGATACAATGCAGTTTAATAACTAGAAAATAATTACTTAACAATTTGAAGTGCTTAGAACCAATTGACATTCGTAATTGACTTAACTAGCGAAATTGCAGTATAAAACAAAGCAGGAAAGATTATAAAGTAACAACGAAATGAAATAGCAACAAGGGATATCAAATTTAAATAACAAGCTTGACAATTTAAACTGCTAAAAACAAATATCAAAGACCATGATCAACTTAAACGGAAATTAATATTGAAAGGTAAAAACCTAATTGAATTGGCAAGATTAAAACTCTAGTCAATTATCAATACAAAATGTTAATGGTTAATAGTCCATGTTCCCAAAGAAATTAACTAGCAGTGCATTATGAAATTTGCAACAATTACATCACAAAGCTTCATTATCTCTCAACATTAATCACAAAACAAATCAAATATGGTGAAGGTGACGAATTTAAAGAGTGTGCTCAAACAAAAGGAATTGACGAAATAAAGCAATGTGCTATCAAACTAATGGCCAGTTTAGTTCACGGAATAGGTCGGGAATGGCATAGCATTCCCAGTAGGGCTGCTAACGAGCCAAGCCGAGCTCGAGCTTCGGGTAGCTTGAGCTCGAGCTCGAGTTGTTAGAGGGGAGCTCGAGCTCGGAAATGGGGCTCGAGCTCGAGCTCGTCACAATGTTGAGCAGCTCGAGCTCGGCTCGAGTTGCTCGTTTGTTCGAGCTGGAGCTCGAGCTGCTCGACTTGGATTCGAGTTCGCGAACATGTGCTCGAATTCGAGCTCGAATTCAAGCACAATTTGACCTATTTAATACATGCTGAATCAGAACTCAAAAAAAAAATAAAAATCAAAGTCCAAAACAAAGCTCTCCGCACAAGTTTACAGCTTCAAATCTAAAGTAGAAGTCTACAACAACATTACAAAATACAAACAGATTAAACAACTTCACATCAATTCAATACAAGTTAAAGAACTTAACATCAACTTCACACTCGCCATGCTTTTCAATCTTCACTCTTTCCAGCAACAACGCCTCGTCAAAAAAGATTAGGAACAATCATTCTAACATAACCTGCAAATCTTTAGATCTTAAACACACTAACTAAATATATAAAAGCTGTAAATGATCAATATATAGATTTTAATTGAGATGTTACTCATGAGTTGGATACTGGAAGATAAAGTGTGTAACTTACTTTCATGGGTTGGATACAGGAAGATGAATTTCTTGATACGATTTCTCTTTCTGAAAAAAAAAAAGAAGATAAATTAACATGTAATTAAACAAATATTTTTAGAAGGCAATGCATCATTTAACATAAAAGTTATAAATTAAAAATTAACTTACTTTGTTTTTGGTAACTCCGTGTATATGTCGAAGCCAATCACCCCCACAGAGTAAAGTTTGTACTGTTTCCAGCAGCAATGATGCACGATAAGAATCAATTACTCGTGTCCCCGAACTAAACGTTGCTTCTAAAGCCACCGTGCTAACATGTATAGCTAAGATATCTGCTGTCATTCTTGCCAATATTGGATAGTGCATTCTATTCATCTTCCACCAATCCAAACAAGAAAAGTCTGCAGCAATCTCACTTTTCTTAAGACGGCCTTTTTTCAAGATAGTCTGCTAACTCTGATTTCTTAGGCTCTGAAGTTTCAACTTGAGCACAATAATCATCAAAATCATCCCAATCGTATGTAGAATTTTGACGGCTTACTTGGCTCCCAAAAGTTGTAGAAGAACCTAAATTTTCAGAAATGCCTTTGTTCATTGCTTCAGCAACATACTCTTCATAAAGAGTATTGATGATCTCTTTCACTTTTGAAATGTTTTCCTTAGCTTCAATATCAGAATACAGTCTAGGAAAACAAAACTCAACAGCAAGCATCTTCTTTGTTGGATAAAAAACAGCACCTATAGCCATCAACAAATTACACTCACCCCAATATTTATCAAACTTCATTTTCATTTTCCCAACCAAATCCTTAATGAAGGAATCCTCATCATTTGCATGACTATCCAAGGCTGCTTTGATTTTCTGAACTTCTTGAAGAAATAAATTTGAAGTAGGGTACCCACAACCTGAAACAAATTTCAATTCAGATACTCACAAGTCACAATCTAAAACAAATTTGAAGAAACAAGTTAAAAGAAACAAACCTGAAATAATGTGAGTAGCTGTCCAGAAAGCCTATAAAATAGAGCAAACCTTGGTAACTTTAACCCAATCATCTTCTAACGGACAACTGTCAAAGAATGGATCACGATCATTTAACATCTTAAACGCTTCTTTAAACTTGAGTGCACAACTTAGCATCTCAAAAGTCGAGTTCCATCTTGTTTTACAATCACGGATCAATTTTCTATCTTTCAACTGTAATTGCTGCACACAATCTGCAAACTGTATACGTCTTGCCTCCGATCGGTTCACATATTCGACACTATCTCTAACATCCCTAATGACATGTCGAATCTCGTCTAATCCATCTTGAACACACAAGTTCAAAATGTGTGCACAACATCGAACATGAAATAAACGACCTCCACATACCAAACTTCTTGATCTTTGAAGTGTATCCTTCATGTACCGAATTGCAGAATCATTACTAGTAGCATTATCAACCGTAATTGTAAAAACCTTCTTTTCAATTCCCCAATCTTTCATGCACCTAAATATAGCATCACATATCTGCAGACCCCCCCTCGGTGGTGGAATATTGATAAAGCTTAAAACTCTCTTATGCAATTTCCAACTAGAATCAATCTAGTGGCCAGTCACAACCATGTACTCAATCTTTTGGTTTTTTGATTTCCAACAATCCGTGGTCAAACTTACTTTGCTAACGGATTCAAGATTGTGCTTCAACTTTTTCTTTTCAAGTTCATAAACCTTCAAACAGTTTGATCTGTTTGTGCTTATACTAATCTTTCTCCACTCTGGCATTCCTCGTTTCATCATGATGTTAAATCCTACTTCCTCCAAAATGTTAAATGGGTGCTCATGCATCATGATCCAATGAGCCGCAGACTCTCTCATTACTTCCATGTCAAACTTCCCATAATGTAATGGCGGAAGGGAAGATGAAACTCCATCACTAGGCAAAAAATTCAACTTAGTTTGTTGATCAACCACCTGCAAAACCAATACAATTAGTCAATTACTATAAATTTATTTCCATCTAGCTAACATTTAAGCTAATGAGAATTAAATAGTTACCTGTAAGTTTGCCTTTCTCTTAACAGATTTCTCTTGATGCCTCTTGTAGCTAGTTGTCGTTCCAGTTTTAGTCAATGCAAAGTGATGATGACAATGATTGCACTTTACCTTCTTTATTCCATCTACATTGATCACTTCAAAATCAACCCACACACTTGATGTTTTTTTCCTCTTGTTTGTTTGAAAATCTAATTGTTGTTCTACATCTTCATTTTGGGGTGTATCATGATCACCTAAATCTAATTCTATTCCTTCAGTTTGTCGCACTTCATTACTTTCACCAACCATACTGCTTGAAGTAGGTAGATTTTGCGGGATAGATGAATTCTCGATAGACATAACTAATGGAAAACAATAATAAAATCAATAACTTGTTTAAAGATTAATGAAACATAGAAGGAATGTGAGTGAACAAAAGACAATTCTAAATGTACATACAATTAACATCTATTCTAAACATAGAAGGATTTTAGTTGCAATTAACATCTCAAAATCTAGAACATACACAAACTACTCAGATGGAAACAGATTTTAGTACATACACAAACTACTCAGATCCAAATCTAGAACAAATGATGCAATTCACTCCCAAAACTTAAATAAATCTGCATGGCTACACAACTTCTCACTGATCTTCCCATTACTTAAACTCCATACAAAAATGTACAGAAATTATTCAGCTCCAAATCTAGAACAAAGGATGCTGCAATTCACTTGCAGAACTGAAATGGAAACAGGCTGCAAGTTCTAGAGTCGGGCTTTGCATATCTCGCATACTCATCAAATATTCATATACCAAGGAAACATGCCAATGTTGTCAAGAACTCAACATCCATCTGCTTCAAACACTAAAGCCTGTGGTTTTAATGCATTTCCATTCAAATTGGCAATCAAAAGCAGATGTAATTTTCATTTTACATTTCAAACAAGCAATATAACAAAAAGTTGAACATTTCAGCAACACCAGCTCATTACAATAACATTAAGGAACAAAAGTAGCAACTTGGTAGCAATTATTTAACTTATGATTTTAGTGAACAAATATCTTCAAGTTAAGAATTTGTAGCAATTACCTTGATGGGAGCTTACACTTGTTAAAGCCTGCAAAACCAAAAATTGGAACAAATATCGATTAAAATTAATAAATAGGTAAGTAAAAGGCTAATCTTTATCAAGTAACTATCATTTATATTGTCATTCTTGTCTTAGATATAATTAATAACATTAATGAGTTTTACAATGCCATCTTATTCCACTGTGTCACTTCATAATTCTTTGTAGTCTTTCTGAACACTACAAATAAATGTGTCAATGTTTAAAGTTGGACATAAGTTTCCTGTCACTACAAAAGCTTTTAGCTTATTGGGAAAATGTGATAGAGAGTAAATTAAGGAAATAAAGGCAACAAAAGTAGATACTTGCAGCATGAGTACATGACTATGATAAAAGAATCAAGGATTGCTGGGAAAATAACAAATCACAAACAAGAGAGGGAGATGATGATCCAAATAAATTTAAGTTTATATGAGAACTTTTATGTTTCCTGGAGCTTAGGCAGAAAATAGAAACATACTAAGCTTAAAACAAAATTAATTACCTTACAGTTTGCACTTTGCCCTAACTCAGCAAGTTTCGGCAGTTCGGTCTAGAAGTGGAAGAGGGAGGTGCCGGAGTGCCGGACCGTCGTCGGAGGCGGCGGAGTGGTGCTTGGCTGCTGCGTCACCGGCGGTGGCTGCGAGACGGAACCGGAAGCAGCAGTCACGAGAGCCGCGCCTGAGGGAGTCTAGAGAGGCAGAGAGCTGAGAGCTAGCGGCAGCGGTGGACTTAGGTTCGGGCGTTCGGCTGCAACGTCGCCGGCGGTGGCTGCGAGAGGATGTCGGCGACTCTTTAGCGAATCGAGAAGAGAGAATCGAGAAGCGAGAGGGCGAGAAGCGAGAATTAGAATAATTTGAGAATTTTGTCTTTAGGGTTTGACATTAAGAATTTAAGTATATATATTAATATATTATATTATATTATATATATAATATTATTTATTTACTTATGGCTCGCGAGCCAGCTCGATGAGCCGCGAGCATATAACATATGAGCTCGAGCTCGGCTCGTTTGCCTAACGAGCCGGCTCGTGCTCGAATTGACCGGGCACGATCCGAGCTTTGACCGAGCGGCTCGCGAACCGCTCGGCTCATTTGCAGCCCTAATTCCCAGTAATAGGCCTATATTCCTTTGTTTGGTAACCATTTCTATTACCAGAAATAATATTCCTGGTAATAGCCTATTACCTCAAATAAGGTAATAGCTATTACTAGGGCCCCCCTGGTATTAGAATGCCTATTACCGAACGCTCAGGAATAGATTTTATAATCTATTTTTTTTTACCCCCTTTCTTTAACTTAATTTTTTTTATCATATATATAAATTTATCATATTTCACCACTGTCGCCGCCACCACCACCATCACCGCCGCCGCCACCACCACCACCACCATCGCTGCCGCCGCCACCACCACCACCATCGCCACAACCGTCGCCGCCCCACCACCACCGCCGCTCCCACCACTGTCACCGCCACCACCGCCACCACCATCACCACCGCCACCACCATCGCCGCCACCGCCGCCACCACCACCACCGCCACCAGAACCGCCACCCAGCAGCAGCAGCACCACCACCACCACCGCCACAACCGTCGCCGCCCCCACCACCACTGCCACAACCGTCGCCGCCCCCACCACCACTGCCACAACCGTCACTGTCAACCGTCACCGTCACCACCACCACCTTCGCCCCCACTACTGCCACCGCCACCACCACCACCACTACCACCCCAGTACCACCGCTGCCGCCACCATCATCACCACCACCGCCACCACCATCGCCACCACCGCCACCACCGCCACCACCGCCACCACCACCACCACCATCGCCACTATCACATATTTTTATAAGGGTATTTATGTCTTTTACAACATATTTCATTTCTATTCCTTAAATCAACCAAACACTGTAATATAATTCCTAAAGTCTATTCCTTCCGCGAACCAAATAATAGAATACAATTCCTTCCGCGAACCAAATAATATAATACAATTCCTATTCTATTCCTTGCCTATTCCATTCCATAAGGAATAGCATTCCTATTACCTCAAAATTCATTCCGTGAACCAAACGTGCTGTAAGGGAATTGAAGCATAAAGCAAGAAGGCTACGAATTAAAGAGAAGGGAAAACAACACAAATTAATAAAGAATAATGATGATGTTATTACAAAAAGAAATAGAGAGAGCTTTTTCCATGTGAAGCTTGCGCCCAAAGAATTAATTGCTGAAGGAAACAGTTTTCGCCGTTGCACCAACGCCGAATGAAATTTGCCCAAATCAGAATTGTTGTCGCCAGATGCCGAACCACCAGAGCAGAATCGGCTGTCGTCTCCGGAATTACTCCGGGGATGAATTGATCATCCTCCCTCTGTAGATCTGCCCTCTCTTTATAGCATTGCGAACACCATGGCAGATCTCCTTTCTCCCCTCATTGCTATTTGACTCGTAAATATAGGAGATTATTATTAAAACTACAAGAGTTATTAGTCTCTTAGAATTTACAGATAAATAAATAACTTAATAATAAAGATAAAGCAAAACTAATTATAACATTACTTACTAATAAAAATTATTTTTACAAAAATATATGTTATTAACTAAAACTAAACTAACAGTAATAAAAATACCAAAAGTCCAAACTAAATTAATTATTAAAATAAATAAAAGAAAATACAAAATTAACCAAAATTATAAAAAGAATTTATATAAATTAATAATAGAAATAATGTTTATCAATCCCCCTAACAATTGACCAGAAATTTTGGTAAAAAGAAGGAGGCATACCGTCAGGACCCGGAGCTTTATCCAGAGCCATGGAGAATAATGCCATCTTCACCTCTTCCACTTTGATGGGGCGTGTCAGTCGTATATTCATGTCATTAGTCACCCGGCGTAATACTCTGCTAACAAGATCACCACCATTGGCGGACGAATGAAAGATATCGGCGTAGTATCTCAAGATGTCTGCATGCATGTCTGGTCCTTTTGCCCACTGCCCATTTATGTTTTGTATACGTAGCAGTCTATTGTTCTTTCTCCAACATGAGGCGAATTTATGAAAAAATTTCGTGTTGTGATCTCCTTCCCGAAGCCATAACTGTTTGGAACGCTGTCTCCAATAGACATCTTCTTGAGCAAGGAGTCTATTTAATTCTTCCTTCATCGCCCAGAAAGACTCCACTCCGCGGCTATCTCTGTTACCTCGAAATCTCTCCAGTTTGTCTTTCAAAAATTGAAGTCTTTTGCCAAACATTTGGAAAAAGTCACTACCCCATCTCCACAAATCCTTCCCACATCAGTCCACCTTTTAATGAAAATCATAGCCCTAATTGAAACCCCATGAATGTTTACCGATCATTCTGCAGTTGGCATCAAGTAGCCAGGCTGCTTCGAATTTAAAACGCCTACTACCTCGGCGGCTGGGAGCTCTCTCAAGCTCGAGAAAGATAGCACTATGGTCTGACTGCAACGTGAGAAGATTGTGAACCGTTGCCTCCAAATACAAATCACACTAGGCTGTAGAAGCCACTGCCCAGTCTAACCGCTCTTCTACCCATTGCATTGTGCGTCGACCTCTCTCCAAAGTAAAATCATAGCTTGACATGCCCAAATCAAATAAGTCACAATCCTGTAGAGCTTCGTTGAAACCCCGTATTAAACCATATGGATGGGGAATTGGCCCCTTCTTCTCGTCGTGGCTAGCTAGGTCGTTAAAGTCCCCTATCACAACC